AGAAAATGGTTTTAAAAAATACTTCGACCTTATATCAGTTCTACTTGTTGCTGAGCAAAATAATGACCTTTTGATGAAAAATCATAATCTGAGACTCAGTGGTTCTAGTCCTTCGGTTTATGGTCCATCTGGCCATAATTTAGCCACTGAATCAAATGCATCATATAGTGGCAGTAGAAGGCATTTTAAACGTGAGCATTTTAATGGTCATAAAACAAGTCACACCGAGAATACAAACAGGTCGAAAGACCAAAGTACAAGGGCAAGGGCAAACAAAAAACCCATCAAATAAATCGCCCTCCAAAATTCTCGAGAAAGTCGACTTGTTATAAATGTGCCATGACGAGGTACTGGGCTAATAAATGTCGCGCGGCTAAACATCTAGTGGAGTTATTTGAAGCTTCCATGAATCTGAACAAAGGCAAAAATGTGGAAACTAATTATGTTAATGACACAACTCCACCTCTGCCAAAATTTGACGTGTCCGACTATTTCGTGGATGATGCCATTATGGACGATGCTTTTGCTATTAATCAAAATGCCACAAAATAAAATATTAGACTCTTTATGTTGTAAAATACTAGTGTCATGTATTTTTTTTTCTTCCCCTTTTATTTTGTTTTTAATAAATGTGTGTAATATTTGTACTCTTATGTTAAATAATATGCATAATCTGTGATCAAGCCTATGTTTATTTACATGTATGGATCACTCAAATGATAAAGAGCTATGTCTGATAGACAGCGCTACAACGCACACCATTTTGAGAAATAAGATATATTTTTCTCAAATGACTTTAGTTGAAGCTAAAGTCAATACAATATCAGATGTTGTGAAGCTCATTGAAGGCTCTAGGAAAGCATATGTGATGCTCCCTAACGGGACAAAATTACTTATAAATGACGCTTTATACTCCAGCAAATCGCGGAGAAATTTATTAAGTTTTAAAGATATGCGTCAAAATGGTTATCACATAGAAACCATGAATGAAAACTAAAAGGAATATCTTTGTCTTACGAAAACTAAATCTGGCACAAAATATATTTGTGAAGAAATGCCAACATATTCCTCATGACTATATTTCACATATATTAGTCCACTCGAAATAAATTTGGTTTCTAACACAAAGCAGACGATCAGAAAACATTCATGATGTGGCATGACCGTTTAGGTCACCCAGGCCAAGTAATGATGCATAAAATCATTAAGACTTCACTTGAACACCCATTAAAGAATATCAGGGTTCCATTATCAAGTGATTTTCCTTGTAAGGCCTGTTCTCTTGGCAAAATGATCACCAGGCCTTCTATGAACAAAATTGCAACTGAATCACCTGCATTTTTAGAAAGGATTCAAGGAGATATTTGTGGGCCGATAGCTCCACCATGTGGACCATTTCGATATTTTATTGTGTTGATTGATGCTTCAACACGTTGGTCACATGTTAGTCTTTTATCGACTAGAAATTTAGCATTTGCTAAACTCCTTGCTCAAATTATACGATTAAGAGCTCATTTTATGGATCATTCCATAAAGAGAATCTAACTTGATAATGCAAGAGAATTTACTTCCCAATCATTTAACGACTATTGTATGTCGATTGGGATTGATGTGGAACACTATGTTGCTCATGTCCATACACAAAATGGTCTTGCTGAATCTTTGATTAAACGATTACCATTAATCGCTAGACCATTATTAATGAAGTGTAATTTACCTTCACCAGCTTGAAGAAATGTTATTTTACATGCAACAAATTTAATTCGTCTTAGGCCTACTGCATATCATGAATATTCTTCCCCAATACAATTAGTTACTGGACAAGAGCCAAACTTGGCACACATAAAAATATTTGGTTGTGTTGTTTATGTTCCAATTGCTCCACCTCATCGTACAAAAATGGGTCCTCAAAGAAGGTTGGGAATTTATGTTGGATTTGAATCTCCCTCAATAATCAAATATCTTGAACCGATGACTGGTGACTTATTCACCGCACGGTTCGCTGACTGTCATTTCAATGAGACAGTATTTCCTGCCTTAGGGGGAGAAACTAATAAATCGGATCCAAGTACGAAAGAATTAACATGGAATGCAACAGGATTATCACACCTTGATTCTAGAACAAATATATGTGAATAAGAGGTGCAAAAGATAATCCATTTACAAAATGTTACAAATCAGTTGCCTGATGCATTCACAGATACAAAGAAAGTGACAAAGTCACATATTCCTGTAATGAATGCTCCTGCCAGAATCGAAATCCCAGCAGAGAATTCTGATAAATCTCTTGCAAATGATTCTTCTATACGCAAAAAGTGTGACAGACCGCTTGGATCGAAAGACATAAAACCAAGAAAAACTAAAAGGCAAGAATTGATCTGTGATGCCAAAGATGTTCATTCTTCTTAACAAAAAATGAACAATTTGAAAATGCTGGCATACAAAATGATATTGACAAAACAAACATCTCAAATAATCCAACTTCCTTAAATGAGGAAGATATCCGGATAATGATAGAAACGTTGATAATTATGAAATTTTAATAAATTATGTTTCTGCTGGAATGCAATGGAATCGAAAATATATTGATATTAATGAGATATTTGTCTATGTCGTTGCCACAAATGTTATGAATGAAAACAATGACAATGAGAAAACATCAATTGAAGAATGTCGCAAACGACACGATTGGCCAAAATGGAATGAAGCTATTCAGGCTCAATTAAAATCACTTGAAAAACGTGATAGTCCCTACGCCAAAAGGCGTAAAGCATGTGGGTTTTTGGACCGATAGTCCCTACGCCAAAAGGCGTAAAGCCTATGGGTTTTAAATGGGTATTTGTGCGTAAACGCAATGAGAAAAATGAAATCGTAAGATATAAAGCCCGACTTGTTGCCCAAGGTTTTTCTCAAATGCCGGGAATTGATTATGAAGAAACCTATTCTCCAGTAGTTGATGCAATTACATTAAGGTTTCTTATTGGCATGTCTGTTTTTGAAAGGCTGCAAATGCGCTTAATGCATGTAGTGACTGCATATTTATACGGTTTACTCGATACAGACATTTATATGAAAGTTCCCGGAGGATTTAAAATGCCTGAAGCTTATAGCTCGAAACCTCGAGACATGTTTTCCATTAAATTACCGAAGTCATTGTATGGACTAAAACAATCTGGACGAATGTGGTATAATCGTCTCAGTGAATACCTTCTCAAAGAAGGATATAAGAATGATCCAATTAGTCCATGTGTTTTCATTCGGCGATCAAATTCGGGATTCGCCATAATTGCAGTATACGTTGATGACTTAAACATTATTGGAACTCCCGATGAAATTGAAAATAGTGCAAACTATCTTATGAAAGAATTTGAAATGAAAGATCTCGGAAGAACCAAATTTTGTCTCGGACTTCAAATTGAGTATTTGAAGAATGGAATTTTCATCCACCAATCCAATTACACTGAGAAAGTGTTGAAGAGATTCTATATGGACAAAGCTCATCCTTTGACTTCACCAATGGTCATTCGATCTCTCAACATATACGATGATCCATTCCGTCCCCGAGAAGACGACGAAGAAATACTCGGTCCCGAAGTACCATATCTGAGTGCTATTGGAGCTTTAATGTATTTAGCTAATAATACTAGACCAGATATTGCATTTTCTGTAAATTTATTAGCTAGGTACAGCTCATGTCCAACAAGACGTCATTGGAATGGGATCAAGCACATATTCCGTTATCTTCGTGGTACAGTTGATCTCGGCATATTCTACCACAAAGATGCAACAGCTTCTTTAATCGGATATGCAGACGCCGAATACCTATCAGATCCTCAAAAGGCAAAATCACAAACCGGGTACGTATTTACTTATGGTAACACCGCAATCTCATAGAGATCTATGAAGCAAACATTGACGGCTACATTATCAAATCATTCGGAGTTAATTGCTCTTTATGAAACCGGGAGGGAAAGCGTGTGGCTGCGATCTATGAATCAACACATCCAAAATGAATGCGGTATGAAACTTCTTACTTTTCACCCTACTGTGATCTACGAAGACAACACTGCGTGTATAGCTCAAATTAAAGAAGGATACATCAAAGGAGACAGAACGAAACACATATCACCAAAGTTCTTCTCTGCTCATGATCTGGAGAAAGAAAGGACAATCAACATTCAACAAATCAGATCCAGTGAAAATCCGGCCGATCTCTTCACCAAGTCATTGACCCTGAAGAAATTCATAGAACTTGTACAGAAAATCGGCATGCGCCGCCTCCAAAATATATGTTAATTTCAGGGGGAGTATTTGAATGCACTGCACTCTTTTTTCCTTCATCAGGTTTTTATCTCACTGGGTTTTTCCTGATAAGGTTTTTAACGAGACAATACATCCAAATATAACGACATTATAAGTTGTAATCTTTACCCCTTAACTTTAATTTTTCATAATAAATTTTAATATAAATACCTGTTCAAAGATGAACATTCAAGGGGGAGTTTTGTAAAATTCTGGGAATGACAAGTGTGAATTGTTCATCCTTGTCATCATCCTTGTAACCAGGACACTAGGCATCTTTCCATCCTTGTAATCATAGATAGACAAATGGCTAGGTTTAATGGTGTCAGCAAAATATGTAGAAGTAGTCTTTAATGACTCATCATCAAGCCCAGCTAGTATAAATATGGCTTGATCAAACCTTTGTAATGTAACTCAGAAACTCAGAAATTTCATATATTAAGAAGTATAATGTAGATCTTATTATTCATATATCTATCTCTTTATTTAGTCTTCATCTTCTTCATTTCACAATACACATTTCATTATTGAGCAACACTATCTTCCAATTTTCTACTAAATTATTTTAGTAGTGTATAATTTCGCATTATTTTAGTTGATGTTCCAACTCCACTTTCACTAAATTATTAATTTGCTATCTATGCGCTTAGGGCAATGACGCAGCTAGTGAGATAATTAATTTGTTGGGGAATATGGGGTGACAAATTACTGAACATACTTTTTATACAGTAAAAACACATTACAAACCGTTTTTGTTGAGGCACCAAACTAGTAAATAAAAGTTGGAGCACCAAGTTGCAGAAAAGGAAAAATAAAAAACAACAATTATAACAACAATTATAACAGCAATAGTAATAGGAAGAATAATACTCGGCACCAGAAAAAATAAAAAATAACACATCGATCTTATTCAACTGATGATCTCTTCAATAGTCCAAGTGTCCAACAATGAGCATTCACCATGATAAAAAAAAAATAATGAGCATTCACCATGATAAAAAAAAAACAATGAGCATTCACCCGAAGAGAAAAGCTCTCACAGCTGTAAAATATTATGTAGTCAGAACATCGGGAAGAGCAGCAGACGGAGTTCCAATGACTTTACCCCCCAGATCCGGGAAATTTTCGCTCCCAGGCAAGGGACATACTTTGCCATCTGCATCCACGTCTAAAGGATAATGCAGGAGATGGCCCTGCAAGGTGTGGAATTTGTCATCTGTGTATTTTCTCCAGTTTCCCCGAGCAACCTCATTCACCCTGTTCACACACTCTAGTTTCCCTGGCTCATTAAAACATTCTTCCAGCATTCCAAGGTGCTCTGCCCACAGAGACATTCTGTATCCATAAATCTGCAGGAATTAATAAAATATGAACAGCATGTTAACTACTTGCAGTGATGCATGAGAACCATGTTCAACACGGAATACAATAGAAGGCACAAATTCTTTAAGTAAAACTGTTTGCAGAATATAATGCTTTTAAACGTAAAGCATTTGAGCATAATATTCTAATTACTCAATCAAGGCAATAACTTGTTTAAACTATAGCTTTAGTTCATCTATACTACTTTGATACTTGGAATGTACTTAACATGTCCATTTGTTTCCTTTTTCTTCTATTATGACATTTATTTAAGGCACTTCATTCTAATATAAAAAATGGAACCTGTCCCCGAGGATGCCGCTGCTTCTTTGCCCATGTATGATGAGGCTGGTAGGCACCCATAGCTATCTCGGTATCTTTTGACCCAGCCATAGATCGCTGGTTTATATTGGCAGATCCCAAAATGACATACTCGTCATCCACTATCATTCCTTTGGCATGCACATATATCATGAACCGCTGAAACTTAAATGAGTCTGAAACCTGATAGGATTGCACATCACTTTCATTAAATGTTGTTAAAAGTAAAATTAGATGCAGTTATCCAAGTTTGTACATACAATATCATAGAATACAAACAAAAACATAGAATGCGAACAGAGGATTCCTTTGTCACACACTACATTTATTTATAATAATATGCACATCACAGGCTTCCTAGAAGAATGTTGAGCCTCTTCACCCCTCCCTCAAAAACCACACCACAATACTCCCTCCCCTCCGCATTGTGATGTTTGCTCCAATATGGTTTCGCACAATGTTTAAGGGAAAAGTATGAAAGAGAAGATAAAAGTAAAAAACAACAAGGGTAATTGGGTATTTTTAAATGGAAAACTTACCAAAATGGGAAAGTGTAGCAAAAATTAATAATCATCCCAAAAAGGAAAGTGTAGCAAACAAAAGAATACGGAGGGGAGGGAGTCTTAAAAATACATTTATACACTTCAGTATGGTACAAATTACATACTAACACTTCATTGCAAATTGAAGAAGCATTTCCACATTGTCAGTTAGTCACTAATATAATAAGCTAAAACTCTAATACTCAATCTCTATTGTCCCTTCCTTTTTCAAACATAAACTACATTAAAGAACACTTTCAGACTAGCAATTGTCCTCCTGCCAGTTAAAGATAGTGACAATGGATCTCTGACAATTTAGTCTGTATGTGTGTATGCAGTCTCAATTTGAAAATAGACAGTTAAATAACAATGATTTTAAACATTACCAGAAAAAATTCTTCAATAACCTACCTTATCTGTGGCATTAAGCGACTGAGCCGCTGAATCAGCTTCTTCCCGGTTGCCAAGGCAATAGAAATTCAAAAAGTCTGAGGGATGTGCATCAAGCTTTGCAGACTTGATTTCCCTTGCAATGACTTGATACATCATCTGCATTGTTTGGCTCTGTAAAGTGCAGTATGCAGATGCAGAATGCCAACAAATTAACCATGGGTTAGATACAATGTTTCTCGATCAAGTTATGAAACTAAGTTAAAAAACATCCATGGGGGGGTGACAATTTTCAGATATAAAACAAGTTTTAGAGGCAGTCCTCGGAGTTTAAGTATCACTCATTTCCGAAGTATGAAAGTTTTCTTTTTATGAAGTAGGGATCAATTGCAGGCAGAAAAGGAGGAACAGCAAATCTGAGATGCAATCCATTATCTAAATCATTTTCCCTCTGCATCTAAATCATTGACAGTTTTCCATCATTTGCAATGGAGCCAAAGACTCAATATTTTTTGGCTTGGGAATATGATGGAATAAAGCAAAATGGCTCACTAAACTGTCTGCGCTTCTTTGTTATGAAGTGGCACTCAGTCCATGCAATTTTCAACGCGCTTTTTCACTTTGGGTCATTCGGAAACAGTCTATTTGTGCTTTAGTACAAGGGTAAGATTGCGTCCAATTGAACTTTTCGTCTATAACAAAGGGGGAAAAATCTTTTCTCCCGGAATGATGATTGTATTTCATGGTGGAAGCAGGTCGTACTAAGACAGGGGTCAAATTACCTGCCAATAGAGAATTTCTTGCACAGTAGCCGTCTTGGGGTCCCCTTCAGGCCACATTGGAACAACCACGTATACAGCAAATCTTTTCTTAGCTCTAATTTTACTAACAATTTTCAGTGCCAACTCCATAGGAATGAGATGATCAGCACCTAGTTGTATTGTATGCAAATGTAGTAGAATAAACAGCAATAACATGAACATTATGAATGGGATTTCAGGCATAAATTTTCAACGTTGGGAATGACAGAAAAACTGAGAATTGTTTTATGGAAGATATAGCAAAAACACTCGCATAGTTGAGCATATAGGAACTCCCAAGAATGCCAGACATTCTAAACATACCAGCATCTTTGTATGACGGCCAAGCATATGATGACCCAAGAAAATACTGGTTTTCAATATAAATGAAATGTTGAGCTGATCTTATTGCATGGATATATGCTCTTTCGATGCTTTTGTCTACAACCAAATTTTTCCCGCAGAATAGGTTCTGCACAACATGAACAACAGAAATGAGGACTACGCAAAGCTGCAAGTAACCACAAACTATATATTGGTCAGCAACATGGAAACCCCGAATGCATTTAGGAATTTAGATGTGATGATGATTTTTACACCTGTGATGTTGCAATCTGAACATTTTTGGAAAAACCCTTCACAGAACCAGAATCAATGGAACGGAATATCTGAGAAGTAAGAACTGAACTTAAATATTAGCAGTTCAAAGATTCCACCAATTAAATGGACACTCAGATGATTGAACAACCTGCACATGCCAATTTTCTGACTGCCCCTCCTCAGATACATAAAGTTTTGGATCATCTTCAGGAATGAGTGTTGTTTCCTTTGTTATAGAAAAAGCAGGACTAAGTATCCATGATATGCGTTCAATTTTTATCATTGCATCATCGTGCCACTGCGACATCTTTTTTTTTAGTATTGCAAATTCTCTCCACCTTGTTGCTCTCCTCCAACGTTGGGCGAAGTTTATAAGCACATCATATGCAGCAGGGCCATCGATTCTGCAGTGCAAGTCATGCCATGGCTCTCTTGGAGCCTTCGTCCCTGGCTAATTTAGACAAAAAATTAAGAAAAGGATGCAAATGATGCAATTTCTCAGTACCAAAGACTCAACTACATCTAGCATAGGATTTCCAATCCTTCATCGTGCACATAAATTAGTGTTTAGCATTTTTGTGTATTATTATTATTTTCTAATCATGATGTTTCATAAAAAGTTCAGAATCAAAACCAAAGGAGTATTAACAAAAACAAGTGCCCAACTTTTCTATACTGTATTTTAGGAAAAAGGGTCAAATAGCTCCTTATACAATTGTTGATTGGTCACTTAAACCCATGTACTATAAAAACCATCATTTTACATTCATGTACTCTTAAAATAATCAGTTGGATCAAACTACCTGAAGGTAACCAATAATAACAGGTTAACTTTTACTTTTTCTCTCTCATTTTTTACTTTTTACTTTTTTATTTCCTTAGCCACGTGCTCCCTCATTTCCATAACCCAACCTCTGTATTCTTCTTTATTTCTTGTTTTTCATTTTTCGTTTTTCTTCTTTTCTTCTTTAAGTTTGACCAAAATTATTTTAGGACAAAAAAGGTGCCTAAAACAAAACTTAATTTGGGGCAGAGGAAACAGTAATTAATATTATTACTTTCATTATGATTATAAACAGAAAATGAATACAATGCATAGTCTATTATCATTATTGTTTCCCCTATGTTTTCAGTGATTTCCCAAACTTGACTTGCCATTTAAAGTTACATGTTACTCGTAAATTGTTTTCTTTTGTTGTTTGACGTATCCCAATCGACTGAATATTATACATCTGTGATAGGGATCTACCTATGTTAGGAGAATTGGGCCTAATAGAATGTTAGGAATTGGGCCTTTTAGAGCAAGAATAATAGTAAGTGTATTAGATTAGTATAAATAGAAGAAGTGGGGAGAAGTAAAGGAGGCTTTTCGGACATTTGTCTGGGACTGGGAAGATTTGAGACTAGTCGTCTCTATCTTTGGGAGGCTTCGGCCTTGGTTACTGTACTGTTCATCATCTTCTCTAATAAAATTCAGTTTGATTTCTTGTTCTCTTTCTGTAATTTGTTCTGGAATCTTGGGGGTTTCTATCATTGGTATCAGAGAGAGAGACTATCGCTGGGAGATGTTGACGCGTGCTAAAATGGAAGAAAGACTGAACGAACTGGAGCGGAAGCAACAAAAAGCCGCGATAACAACTGCAGCGAATTTTACGGCGATACAAACAAGTCTCGAAAATTTGGAGATAAAAATCCTACATCGGTCGGGAAGCAGATCGCATACGTCGGACTCTTCGCATCGTTCCTCGCATCGCACGTCTCTCCATCATGAATCGCGTCACTCGCGAAAATCAGTCAGTTCAAGGGAGTCGGAAGGGAATTCTGACTATTCGCATCCGCATCGTTCTTCGCAGAATTCTTCGCATCGCTCTTGTCGCTCTTCGCAGAGTTCTGCTCATCACTCTTATCATCGCTCTTCGCATCAGAGTGCGCCTTATTCGTCTAAAGTCAATTCTCGGAAGTCAGCTAGTTCACAGACAGAGGAATTACCTCTATTCTATGAGGATGAAGCGTACGAATGGATAGAGAAGATGGAAAAATATTTCCCAGTTCAAGCTATTGCAGAAAAATTCAAAGTGGACGTCGCAGAAGAGGCTATGGGGGAAGCCGCGTGTGGCTGGTTTAAATGGTGGTGGGAGTATCAAAAGAGGGAAGATAGTTGGAAGGCACTAAAGGAAGACTTGATTAGGGATTTTCCACCTAAACGCCGGCCGAAGACAGGGAAGACAGAAAGCAGAGATTCATCAAAGTCACGAAGAACTTCTTCCAGTTCGCAATCGAGAACTTCTTCATTCAGTTCGCAGGAATCATCGTTAAGCAGGCAGCGAAAACAGGAGTCATCGAGGTCGCCAAGAACTTCTCGTTCACAAGCTTCTCAATCAGCACTAGAAATTTCCCAGTCAACAAAGAAGGTTCAGATGGAACTGACTGAACCTGTAATCTAGCAAGTGAATAAGAAAGACGAAATCAAGGAGAAACGACAGGTTATTCAAGGTCCAGATTATGTTTATTCTAATCTTGCAGAGGATGTGGATTTAATTTCCAACCAAGATTCTATTGTTGACAAGCTTATTCAACCATGTTCTTTTGAAAATAGAGCCCTAATTGTTTCTGAAACTGTTCTTGTCAAAAGCCAACTATCTTTACAACCAAAGGAAAGGTTTTCAGAAAAATTATGCATTGGTAAAAATAGATCTGGTACAGAGGTTCAGGAGGAGGAGGTTGGGCTTGTTTCAGGTGAATTTGCTATCATCCAGGGAAACCGTACACAGATTAATGCTGCTGATAAGTATAGCCATGGCCAACACCTCGAATTACAACAAGCTGAATTACAGCCAGGGGTAGAGAGAATGTTAGACTACCTCAAGCCTGACTTACATAATCCATTTAGAGTACATGAAGGTTATCTATTGTTGGGAGATATTTCTGCAATGACAGCTCATAACCTATTACTTCCTGAGGTTTATGAATCCTTCACAAGGTTTTTACAGAGGTTGACCCCAAAGGGTTATCAGCAAACTCTAGCTATTATGACTCCTGGGTTGAAATCCTTGCCAATTGATGACATCAAAGCTGTTAGAGAAGTTTCTTGTGATCCTAATGCCAGGATAATTATCCAAAGTAAGAAGCGGGAATTATGGGAATGGGGAGAAATTCCAAGGGTGAAAGAAAGTGAAGAAATAATTTTTGCTAAGGGCTGCTGGATAGTGTCTGAACCGAAGGAAACTTCACTTCAAATCTCTTCTACTGCTGGAAGTTCTGCTAATGGTGTAGGTGATACACCTCAGGAAAACAAGGAAATATGCGTAGGAAGGTCTGAAGACTAAGGAAGAAAATGAAAATTCATCAGAGAGTAACATCTGTGAAGTGAAAGAATCAAGTATTTTCTCAGAAATCAGTTAGATATTGGGAAGGTAGAAGCGCAAGGATGAGGAAGAAGCAGAAGGTCTTGGTTGTCTCCTACCGCCCACCTTGAGGGCAAGGTGGATGTTTAGGAAGGGAGTATTGATAGGGATCTACCTATGTTAGGAGAATTGGGCCTAATAGAATGTTAGGAATTGGGCCTTTTAGAGCAAGAATAATAGTAAGTGTATTAGATTAGTATAAATAGAAGAAGTGGGGAGAAGTAAAGGAGGCTTTTGGGACATTTGTCTGGGACTGGGAAGATTTGAGACTAGTCGTCTCTATCTTTGGGAGGCTTCGGCCTTGGTTACTGTACTGTTCATCATCTTCTCTAATAAAATTCAGTTTGATTTCTTGTTCTCTTTCTGTAATTTGTTCTGGAATCTTGGGGGTTTCTATCAATCTGTTGCGCTGAAGTCATCTTGTCTATTCTGATTCGATTTGGTCTTCTCTGCTCCAAAGTCCAAACTGATCTTTTATGTTCTAGTTTGGTTCAGAATGATGCGATGTGTCTTGATATTATGTAAACATTATGGCTATAAATATTTCATTAACAGTTGTGTAATATATTACTCTTAATATCTGTTAATGCTGGTATAAAATAATAACTGAAAAAGAAACAGAAAAGTTTTATATTTTCATAACTATTTATAAACTATATTACTTTGTTAATGAATATATTCCTTAAAAAAATTCACTTAGTATGAACCGAATAGACCAGAACACATTTGAAAAAATCAGTTGAAAAGTACTGGACCTAAGCGCAACAACATAAACAAGAGACAAGAGTAGCCACTAGCCAGTAGAGCAAATGGGAAGTGGGTTAAGTAAGAGCAGTGGATATGAAGTCAGGAAGTTGGGAAGAATGGGCTCCTAAGGTTTTCAATATTTGATCTGAGTAAGAACGATGGTGGCAATCTTTAACAGATTAGGGAATGAGATACATATTGACCAAGTAACTACTAACTAGTTGCTTCATTGTCGATAAACCAAATTAATCGAAGAGCCATTTTGATCAATTTTCATTAAATGCTTACTCCTCATCCAGTTCCTATTTAATTCTCCACCTTCATGAGATTTTGGTGTTCCTCTTGATGGGTCCAGTTATGATAGGGACCCACCTATTGACTAATAAATAGACTAGTCGCTATTAGTTAAAATTATGTAATAGATATTAAATAAAGGAAGGAGCTGGACTGCTATAAATAGAAGGAAGGCTGGGAGGGGAAGGCAGGCTTTTAGACGGTTAGTCTTGGGACTGGGAACATCGAGGTTATCTCTTTCTTTGGGGGCTTCGGCTCATTTGGGGGCTTTGGCCAGAATTTTCTATTCTCCTTCTGTAATTGTTCTTCTTCATCAATAAAGTGATTCATCTATTTTCTTGTAATCTTTCTGTAAATTGTTCTGGATTTCTTGGGGGTTCTAACATTGGTATCAGAGCACGTAGATTCTGTGGATGGTCTGGACACGGACGAAAATGGATTTGCGGATGACTGAGTTGGAAGATAACCAAAACCGACTGGAGGAGAAGGTGGATCGGAATCAGCAACAGACTACGGATATGTTGACAGAGATTCTCGCTACGGTGGATGCGAGAGATCGTGAAGCAGATCGCACTCTTCATATCAGTCGCATCGCACTTTTCATCATCCGCGATCGCAGAAGGAGTCGCAGATGAAATCGCGAACTTCTCATATTTCGCAGTCATGAACCCATCTTCCAGTTCGCAATCGCGAACTACTTATCTTGGCTCGCACTCGCGAACTTCCGATCACTGTTCACAGTTGCGAACAGTTTCTCTCCGTTCGCAGCCTTACTCCTCGGATATCAATATGCATCCAAGAAGGAAGCGAGAGGGTGGAGAGTCATCATCTTCGTCATCAAAGGACTCCCACAGTTCGCTATCTTCTTCTAAAGTTGTTTCTCGGACGTCAGCTAGTTCAAAGACGGAGGAATTACCTCTATTCTACGAGGAAGAAGCGTACGCATGGATAGAGAAGATGGAAAGATATTTCCATGGAAAGATTTAAAGTGGACATCGCAACAAAGGCTATGGGGGGAGAAGCATGTGGCTGGTTTCAATGGTAGGATTTTCAAAAGAGAGAAGATAGTTGGGAGGCTCTAAAGGAAGACTTGATTAGGGATTTTCCACCTAGACGCCGGCCGACGACAGGGAAGACAAAAAGCAGGCAGCGAACAACAACAGATGGTCTCAATACACAAACATCCCCATCCGCGATCAACTCACCTAACAAGGCATCGCGATCAAGAAAGGAATCTTCTGGTTGGCCAGTTTGGTCGCAAGATGTTTCTCACTCTGTGCAAGATTTTTCCCAGTCAATTAAGGAGATTGAGATGGAGACAACTGAAATTGTAATCAAGAAAAAGAATAACAAGGACGAAATCGAAGAGCAAAAACAGGTTATTCAATGGCCAGTTTATGTGTCTCCTAAATTTGCAAATGATGTGGGTTTAATTTCAATGGAACAAAAGAGATCTGGTTCTGTGGGTTTTGAGGATCGTGTGTATCCTTTTTCTGGGGAACCATATGCTAATGTTCAAATTGGGGCATTGATTTCACATGGAGGTTCACCAACTTGGATGAATGTTATGAGTGGAGGAAGACTGGTTATGGATGATAAAGAGGCTGAAACAGCAGTGTACAATCAAAAAGTGACTATTGGGATGCACTCTTCTAGTATGTTTAAAGCAATTCTCAAAAACCAGGTTGAAGAGGGACTTTCTGCTCCTTATAATTCAAAGGATCATCAAGAATATTCTCCAGTTGTTTCTTCTGCATCTGGATGGGAAGGGTCCAATTAGTTGTGACTCACCTTCCAACTTAGGGGTGGACCTTGTGGCAGGAGAGTTCAGAATTACAGGTTATATCATTGAGAAAACGGCAGGAAGTTATGTGGAACAAAATATTGAAGCTAATCAAAAGGTGAAGTGAAACAAGGCTTGAAAATGGCAATGTTTTCTTCTGGAGAAGAATCTGCTTACCTACTAGGACGCCAATTTTGGAAGTCTTACATGGGAAATAATCTTTCCTGCTCCTTAGTTAGGAGAACTGCAACTGGACTAAGGGGTATCCTTACTCGCTAAAACCTTTGAGGCTTTCCTTCTCAAATAAGGTATGCAAAGATTTGAAAGGGGGAGAGGTTGAAAGGTGCATAAAGGAGTTTGCATTTAGTACAGTATTAGTTTCAGAACATAGAAAGCATGAAGGGCTGCAGAAAAGTGAAGAAATAATTTTTAGTATGGAGTGGGGAGAGGTAACTATTTCCATCATTTGCAATGGAGCCAAAGATTCATTATTTTTGGCTTGAGAATATGATGGAATAAAGCAAAATGGCTCACTGAACTGTCTGCGCTTCTTTGTTATGAAGCAGCAGTCGGTCCATGCAATTTTGGACGCGATTTTCACTATGGGTCATCCGGAAACAGTCACTCTGTGCTTTAGTACAGGGGTAAGACTGCGTACATCCGACCCCCCCTTACCCCACCGTAGGTGGGAGCCTTTGCGGCACTGGAGTAAATGAAAATGAAAATGAAATGAGTGGGGAGAGGTAACTGAACCAATTGGAGATTCACTTTCTATTGCTGAAAGTTCTATGATTTTAAAAGATCTCGTACTGCAGTCCATAGTCCATCAACCAGTTAGATATTGGGAAGGGAGAGAAACAAGGAAGAAGAAGAGGAAGCAGAAGATTTTGGCTTTCTCCTATCACCCACCTTGAGGACAAGGTGGATGTTTTGGGGGGAAGTATTGATAGGGACCCACCTATTGACTAATAAATAGACTAGTAGCTATTAGTTAAAATTCTGTAATAGATATTAAATAAAGGCAGGAGCTGGACTGCTATAAATAGAAGGAAGGTTGGGAGGGGAAGGCAGGCTTTTAGACGGTTAGTCTTGGGACTGGGAAGATTGAGGTTATCTCTTTCTTTGGATGTTTCGGCTCATTTGGGGGCTTCGGCCAGAATTTTCTGTTCTCCTTCTGTAATTGTTCTTCTTCATCAATAAAGTGATTCATCTATTTTCTTGTAATCTTTCTGTAAATTGTTCTGGATTTTTTGGGGGTTCTAACAAGTTAGCATTTATACAGTACATTAACTATTTCATGCCAGTGCTACTCTTCAGACATTATTACTCTATATTGAACTTTAACACAATTTCTGAAGTGATGAATAAGGGCAGTTTTTATACGAAAAGATAAGTACTTACTAATTTGCAAAGTTTATAACTTTTTTCAAATGTGTGTGGTTTGGATAAAGTGGACAGTTAAAAAAGAACGGATGGAGCACTTAGCAATGCACTCACTCCTCATTGCGATAACTCCAGCATATTTAAATCATGTACAATGCATACCCTTTTCCATGACAGTAGTGGATTTAAAAGTTAGAGGAGCTTTGTAATATTGAACTCCTCTATGAGGTAGAGTACTAGAGTTCAGTTCCTCTAAATAATTTCATTTGACTAATTGGTAGATTAAATTTGAAAGCACCAATTCTGCTGCCCAGTTTTTGTTTAGGAAAATTTCATGATTTCATCCTAATAACAATTAGAAGAAATCACTTACTGGCAGGTTAGGTTGATGAAAATCATCCTTGTAAACAGTATCAAGATCACGGAACAGACGGTGTTCGGGTGTATCATAACGACCATCACAAAGATCAAGACCACCCAAGAAAGCCGTAATTTTTCTATTGTTACCAGAAGCCTGTGTGTCCACGAGTACACATTTCTGGTGATGGGTAAACATGGTTCCAACAACCTATAAGTAACAAGCAAATGTAAAATCGTTATTAATAAATAATTAATAAATAATACTCCGTAATACTAATATTATTAATAAATATCATTGGTAATAATAATAACAGTAATAACAGTATAATGACAATAAATAATCATGTTGGCGGGCAGGAGAAGTTTGCAGTAAAATGCTAGTACACCCGAACTAGTAGACTAGAAAATAACTGGATGGTTTCCTCCAAGGGTACAAAGTAATCATGTTTCTCCACCCTTCTTGCTACTAAATGTGTGACATGAAAGAGAAGAAAATGATTCAAGAGTAATGACTTTTCATACAGTATACAGTAGTGTGTGCCATTAAAAAGGGAAATTCACCTATATATTACTAAAACTCATGTCAATTTCCATAATATGACTAAACATGTTTCTTGACCATTGTATGACTAGAAATACTTACCCTTTTCATAACTGCCTCACTCATCGCACAAATCACTTCCATATTTTTAGGATTAATTGATTACTTTTAGGTATGATCATCATCATTACCCCAATGCCGCAAAGGCTCCGACCTATGATGGGATAAGGGGGTCAGATGTACGCAATCTTACCCCAGTACTAAAGCAGGGAGAGACTGTTTCCGGATACTTTTAGGTACGATAATAGGAAAAAACTGATGGACTCATATATTGAGAAACATATCTTCTTTTAGTCATAAGAGGGGTAAATATCTCTTTAAAATTCTAACAGTCCGTTGAACCAATTGGATAGTGACCAAATAGGTAATAACTAGATAAACATATTTTAATAATATCATATTAAGAATATTAGAAATTCTAAATTAACTGAATGATCGTACCGTCATAACATATACTCCCTCCGTCCCACAAAACTTGACCAAGTTTTACTTACACGTAAAAATGTGATAGAGTTTAACCACATATTTATTACTTCAAATGGAAATGGCAAATGTTTTTGGGACAACTAAAGTACAAAATAAGGAAATTTGGCAAAGTTTTATGGGACGAAGGTAGTATGTTATACATAGCATAAGATTTAAAAAAAAAACTAAATAAGTACGACAGAAAATAAAAAAATATAGTCTATGACTTATTATAACTACATCAACTATGCCTAGTTCTTACTTGTCGGACCATGACCCCCGATGCTACTAATATCCATACCCTCTTCCAGCCTGTGTGACCCAAATTCCTGAATTGTTTGGGAATGCAGATTTTTGTTCCATAAAAGGTGCCCCGTGGTGCTATATGGTAGGACCGTAGGACTGCTAGACTGCTAGTGCTATCCCCCTAGCACTTTATCCAATAACTCAGATGCATCTCTACAATACAATGACGACATGACTAATACTATGCTTATATGGAGAACTAGTAAGCTACAGGATTACAAGAGTTCGGGTAATGTGTCCGTTTCTGCATCCCCCTCCAATCATATATAACCAAGTGATAATAAACTAATTAACACGATAATTGTTAAATCCAATTTAACACTTGGTTGCATGTGATTGGTTATGTGACTTGGACCCTGTGCTTAATCCTAATGGGCGTAATCTTAGACATGGTAGAGAAAGAGATGGAGATGAAAGAAAAAAATCCATATATCCTAATATATTAAACATTCATAATGGGGTTACGCTTATTAACAAAACTATATTGTATGGTGGGATTTATTTAAAGAGGGAGGAACCAATGTCAAGCAAACCACTCTTTCTAAAAGGAAAGTCAGTTTATCGTAAGACATCTAAAAAGGAAAGCCAGGGCCCAGGGGTAATAGAGAAATAGAGTGTGTGAGTTCACTTAGTTGTGTGTGGTAGGAAAGAAATGAATACGAGATGTGTAGGAATTGGGCGGACATTAATTTCTCTCACATTACTGCATAAGAGAAGTTAAAAGGATGAAGAAGCTGCCATTTTCATTTCTCTCCTCCCCAATTATCTTTTCACTATATGAGATAAATGCTCCAGTTCTTAATTTCTTTCATTTACAAATCTTTCTTCTGCCCTTCTTGCTACCAAACAAAGGGTTCAATTACTTCAATAAAACCAATGTGACGGCCTTGACGGGACTTAGTAAAGATGTCAAGCTAGTTGCTCAGCAGAGTAGACAAAATTAGCGGCAATGCATTTGGATAAGATTATTTCGTCAAATGAAGTGATATCAAATAGTAAATTTCTATTGTTTTTCCCTCACGTGAAAGAGAGTAATTTGTGCAACGTATAATGATTCTTGATTAGGATTTGCTTATAGCCACATACCCAATTACCCATCCTAAAGGAAATGCTTAAAGCTCACATGTTACCAAGACCAACAACAATTACATACTCTCTGTCTTTATTATCAAATTGTTTATTACTTCCTTTAGCTGTCCCAAATCCCAATATGTCCACTTTCTGTATACAAACACTACCCTTTTTATTTTCCTAATTCCCTTTAACCACTCAACTCTTTGAAATGATTTGACAAGATTAGCCTCACTAAAGGAATAGATTTTGAAAATGCACACTGTAATTCTTGTTTTCATTAAAAAAAACATGCTGAAAGTAAAAGGGTCTTGTAATTAGGAGGGAGGAAGAAGTAATTTGCTTTGAACAAAAATATAAGTGCAATAGTGCAATATTGGATAATATAAATAAATGAATGCAAAGACCACCAGATAAGAACTCACATGCTGTTTCACGTAGCTAAGCTTACTACTGGGATAGCGTGTTGACAGGACACAAATCACAGATGAGTGTTTGAAAAATTTCTTGGTCTCCTCATCGTGGGTTGCCATTACTCCACCCTGCATCAGTTATCTCTATCCATTACTTTGCAACAACAAATCAAAAAGGAAATAGAAAAAATCTTACGAACTATAGTCACAAATGACATTCTGCATGATAATTATCTAGGGTACAAGCCAACAACAACAACATAATAGCATAACCTCAGTATCAAAAGAAAACATGTTTAGGCAAGGTACACCTTTTTAACATTGGTAAAGTACAAATGTTGTATATGACAAGTCATTAAGCTTACTTATATTTTTCAATGTTGAAAGTCCCTTCAACTATATTTGTCAGAGTTAACTTGTTTGGGAAAAATCTTTAGAATTTAGCTTCATTTTGTTGAACGTGACTTTTGTTTACAAAAAAAAAAGTAGATCTTTTTGTTGGAAGGATGTAGGAATAGAGATGAGGCGGGTTTGGGGAGTTGGTCATTCCCCCATCCCCGCACCATGTTTGAAGAGTTCCCACATCCCCACCCTGTCCCCCATTACTTATGTCCCTGCCCCAGCCTTGTCCCATGGTCCCCCACAGTGTCCATGTAGTTTTTATCATATTTGCATATTATTTCCATTCATTCAGCATCATCATCATCATCATTACCCCAATGCCGCAAAGGCTCCCACTTTCGGTGGGGTAGGGGGGGTCGGATGTACGCAGTCTTACCCTTGTACTAAAGCACAAAGAGACTGTTTCCGGATGACCCATAGTGAAAATCACGTCAAAAATTGCATGGACTGCTACTTCATTACAAAGAAGCGCAGACAGTTTAGTGAGCCATTTTGCTTTATTCCATCATATTCTCAAACCAAAAAATAGTGGTCTTTGGCTCCATTAAATATATATATATATATATATATATATATATATATATATATTGATTCAAATGAGAATTGGAGAAATGAGAATGAGTATCAGTCATTGGATTAACATTGGATTAACAGTGTTGCACTAAAAACAACTTCATGTTGCACTACGATTTTAATTTTGCGATATTAGACTAAAGCATTTCCATTTTGCACTAGCATTTGGCGATGTTGCATTAATATAGCTTCATATTGAACTAGAGAAGAGTAATACGGATTTTTCAAAAGTATTTACGAAAATGACACCGCGCATTGTTGCATTTTCAGTGCAACATGAAGCTCTTTTACTGCACCATAGTCAAATCCAACAGTTGACATACATATATATATGTAGAGTTATCTTCCTATCCGGACAGGCCGGATAGGAGTGTCATCCGGTCACCTCATTTTGAGGTGGTTCCCGCTGATATTTTTTTATGAAATTTTGTGAGCATGTTCTCTATAAAGTGAAGATTATGTCCACCAAACTTCAGCTAAATATTCAATCAGGAAGGCAGTCAAATAATTTTTTGAAGATAACTGTCCAAACTTGCACCCCCAAACTTTGAAGGGGTGTAATATAAGCACCCCAAACTTGCACATGTAATATATTTACCCCAAACTTTATATAAAAAGTTATGTTAACACCATGATCATATGCTTTTTCACAAATGTAATTTATGGTGTTGAGTGCATTGTAAAATTCTAAATATTTGTGATATATTATAATCTCAGAATGATAGGATATTTATATAGCCTATTGAGGAGAGAATCTAAGACATTAAATATACAATCTGTTAATCTAAATAATAGAATATCCTATTTCTAGAAAGAATAAAATACATGATATTGGTAATTATAACAAAATCAGATCTAAAGTACAGCAGTAGTTATTATCTAAATCAGGAAATAAATCCACATGTGGGTTGTGAATGTCAAACATTCCAAGCTTGCTAATTAATTCTTCAAAAACAGTTCTCGGTAGAGCTTTTGTAAGAATGTCACCTAGGAACATAACAGGTTTGAATAACGAAGTTCTCTATTTTCTCAGTAATGAAGCGTTTGTCTATGTCAATATGCTTAGTTTTGTCGTAATGAACTGGATTTTTGGCAATGCTAATAGCAGCCTGAATGTCACAAAGCATTTGTATAGACCCTTCTTTAAATACTCCCAGCTCGCCAACAATGAGTAAGTATATTATCATATAATATAATTATTTCAATTCACTATTTTATACTACCTCCGTCCCGGTAGACTTTGCCAAGTGCAAGTTAGGTGAGAAATAAGAATCGTAAAAACTGTGTGGTTGAAATTTGTGCAGAGGAGAGGGAAATGCGTAGAACCACAAATTAGTTGCTTTAATAGAAAAGTGACAAAGTTTTTTGGGACAAGTAAAAAAGAAAAGTTGGCAAAGTCCAATGGGACGGAGGGGTATGTGTGTGTGTGTGTGTGTGTAGAGTCCCGTTCGAGTCAGGCCGGCCTGACCGGAAGGCTCGTGCGGCCTTCCCCTTTTGGGTGCCTTTCCGGTGGAATTTTTTGATGAAATTTTTTGAGCATGTTCTTCATCAAGTCTAGTTTATCCATACCAAATTTCAACTCAAAATTCGACCGGGAAGACAGTCAAATAAATTCTTGAAACATACTGCACTTTATATATGCGCAGAATGCCCAGTATGTTTCAAGAATTTATTTGACTGCCTTCCCGATCGAATTTTGAACTGAAATTTGGTATGGATAAACTAGACTTGATGAGGAACATGCTCAAAAAAATTCATCACAAAATTCCACCGGGAAGGCCCTCAAACGGGGCTGTCCGGTCAGGCCGCCTGACTCGAACAGCCCTCTATATATACATATACATATACATATACATATATACATATATATATATATATATATATAGAATAGAGATCAAATACAAAGCTTTCTTAATTTACAAAGTACAAACTCATCTTGACCGTCCGATGAGTTGATCCAAAGGACATAAAGGCAAGGTGGCATTTTTGTAATAAAACCCAACTTTTTAGGGTGCAACTCGTTGCACCTTAATGTGCAACTATTATTTTTATGACTTTATAATGTGCAATACTTTGAACCTCAATATGCAATGCAAATAACGTCAAGGTGCATCGTACAAATATTTGCACAATAAGCACACTTTGTACTTGATCTTTCCCCTATATATATATATATATATATATATATATATTATTTTCCATCATTTCTGATGGAGTCAAAGACTCGCTCTTTTTTGGCTTGGGAACATGGCGGAATAAAGCAATATGGCTTACTAAGCTGTTTTCGCTTCTTTGTTATGAAGCAACAATCAGTTCATGCAATTTTTGACGCAATTTTCATCATGGATCATCTAGAAACAATCTATGTGCTTTAGTATAGGGTAAGGCTGCACACATCCGCCTCTCTTACCCAACCGTAGAGGTGGGAGCCTTTGGGACACTGGGGTAATGTTGTTGTTGTTGTATCAACAGTCAACACTAAAAGAGCTAAACTAGTTAATATTGTGCAAGCTAAAAACTACTTCCATCATATTCAATAGTTTTAATTTAAATAAGGTTTGTAAAGATAATAAAAGTAAAAACATGAGTAAGTATATTATTATATTATTATACTCCGTATAATATGATTAAATTTTACATAACCATGCATATATACATACACACACACATATAGGCGTGGATGAGGCAGGGGTTGGGGCAGGTATAGCATCTCCTGTCACTGCCCCATATTTTGACGGGGGATATCTCACCCATCCCCTCTCCTGCCCCGCCCCATCCTTCCCCCACAGGGCAGGTGCCAGCAGGCCCCAGCCCACATTGTATTGATGTAATATTAATTAATTATTGAGAAGCAGTGTCAATGATACAATACAGAATTGCATATATTAAAATTTTAAACAGCATCAAGCATTCAACCTTGACCACGATTATTATCGAGTTGCTTTTACCATTTCCAAGGATGGGCAGTCTGCCATCATCCATTTTTCTTGAATCTTGACAATTCCATCCATTAAATAGAAGGTCAAAAAGTGGTAATATTAATGAATCGGTTCTTAGAAGTTGTGAGCTTAAATTGATTATTGAGTATGGCTGTCAGTGGTATTTTATCTTCTTTGAAGAAGGTTTTTGTGGAAAATATAGTGTGAATCAATTTGAAAGTTAGTTGTGGTTAGTTGCAAGGACGTTAAAAGTTAGTTATTGCTAGATGTGAATAAAGTTAGCTAAAGGTAAGTTTTAGAGCACAAAATGACAAACTTTAAGCCAGAGTGACACGATTTATGTGCATATCGAGAAAAAAAATACTCATTGATCAACCTTTATGGAATATATACATAAACGCATAACAAAACCAAAACAGAACAAATGAAGATTGAAGAAGCTATATTATACTGTGGTTGTATAATTCACTTGATTTCGAGTAAGGGTTTAAGTCAAACAAATAGCCATTTCAAACACAGCAACCTGAAAAGTATAGATGAAAAATCATAAAAGTCAAATTAGCAAATTGGGCTCAAGTCTTAATGCACTCAAAATGTTCCCAGTATCTTCCCTGCATATAGCTGTCTTCTGCCCTCAGTTTCCTTCAAGGTTGTTAAAATCGTATTTTTGAATCGAATCGATAAATGTTTTTGAAAATCGAATCGTAAAATCAAATCGCAAATCGTAAGATTTTATCAAACATATTTTAATAATTATAAAATAAATAAAAAAATATTAAAATTAAGTTGCAAGTTAATGGTATTATATCATTTCATTACATAAAACTATACTTACAAGGTCAAAAACAAGATTTGTAATCTGTTTTTATAATGTAAATGTAGTGATTAATAACATTAAACATGTGTAACACATAAAAATAGTTAAATAACACAAGCATCCATTACTCTTTAAAATATACTATTCATATTATTATTATTGGAATTATGTATCAATCTGTAGTCACTAAAAAACTTATTACGATTTTGCTACGATTTTACTACGATTTTATATGATTCTACACGATTTTAGTACGATTTGTTTACGATTTTGTACGATTTTATGATTTTACGATTTTACCTGCGATTTGAATCGCTTTATTAATGTACAATCGTAAAATCATACGATTTTACGATTTAAATCGAGAGTTTGACAACCTTGGTTTCCTTTTATACCATGAGAGTCTATTACTTTATCTGAGGTTGCAATTTAACATATGCACTTGCTTAATAGAATCTCAAACCCAATCACTAGTGAGGAGTTCAGAGCTGAACAAGAGAGAATCTAGTATCCTTAATCTATTTCATTACTTTCATTCGCAGAGATAAAAGCAAGACATAAAACAAAATACAAAAGAAAAAGTCTACATATTACAAATTGCACCGCCAAAAAGCAATGTTCTGCACTTCGCTAGGCCCTAGTCGGAAGCCCAACCAACGCCTGAGCACTTAGTGGATGCCTAGGAACTAAGAAGGATATAGGTTGAGCACTGAATTATTACTACTATAATACAAAATTATAAACTCGTTATTGAAAGAGTAAAGAAAACCTAAATGTACTGTTTTAATACACAATTCATATCTCCATATTTTTAGCATGAAAACAAGGCCATTGTAATTATACCAGACATATAAACGAATGGTTTAGCAAAAAACACCATTCTTCTTGAACTTTTGTTTTTTTTTTAATTAAAACATCCAGGCAGCCAGGCAATTAGGCATCTTAGTGGGAAATGCTATTTTACAAGTGCTTAATATTGTTTTCTTATTGGCATTTTTCTATGAGGAAATGAAACTCTCCCGTTTCACCAAACAAGCATAATCACAAACCAATAACTTGCTGAAACCCGAAATGCACGCAAATTTTAGTACCGTGTTAATGAAGAACTTGTCGTGAGAAGTTTTGTCGTCCCATGGTAATAACAAGACTCGTACCCCCTCCTGGGACTTGTACTTTAGTAGATCACCCAGAATCAAATCCCCACCACGTGGCAATGGCCTTGTAGGCTCTCTAACAAGTTTAATCTTGTGAAAGACGGACCAGCCAACAATGTATATCAAATGATGAGCCTCTGAAATTGCATAGCATAAATCTTCCCAGCAAGTGCCGTGCTGATACATTCTCCCCCCATCCAATTCGATAGGTGGGAATTTCACATTATGACTGATGTGAGCATCTTGGTATAGCTTAACTGAGGACCCTTTCCTGAGTGGGAAATATGTGCGCCTCACGCCCAATTGCTGAGGATCGCCCACAATGCCATGCTTATTATACAAGGGATTGTTTTCAAATGGAGTGAACTTCATTTCGATCCGGAGTGCGCAATCGGGCTTGGGAGGCTTCCCTGAGGGTCCAATCACAGGAAACCAGCCGGAGATGAGTTCTCCTGAGGCAATCCTCTGCGCCGGAATCTTCACTTTGCCCATAATCTGAGCTCCGAATACGTCATCATCCTTGACCCGGAACTCCAAATTGGCAAGGGGGTGCGCGAGCGGGATGTGGAATTGCTCGTTCCAGACGGGGTTCTGCGTGTTGGGTATGACCCGAGTGCGAGCGAGTGCAGTCTGGGGAGCGGACACAGTGACGTAAGGGTCACTCGTAATGATTCCCCGGCGATAGGGTTTCATCTCCTGGTTGTCCCCGGCGCTCTCTCCGTTGAACTCATCGACGGGGCGGCAGGCGTCGCAAGCGAAGCAGCGGCGCAGGCGCTCGGTAGCGAGGTCCATGTTGGGCAGTTTACGAGCCTCAAAGATGTGCAGCTCCAAATCTCCATGCAAATAAATGAACTCATCTCCGGATTTCTGCGACATTTTTCTCTTCTCTTCACTCCAGGTTTTCAAGAGCGAGAAGTCTTCAAGAAAACAGCTGTTCACATAGTCACACTATATATATGTATGAGTAGCACATCAATCAATCAAGAAAACAGTTTTGCCTTGTATTTCAAAAAAAACTAAAGAACTAGCTGGAAATTGCGGAGAAAATTAGAAAATGGTCCACGAGGAAGACAGATCAGAGAAGAGTGGGCGAGAATGGGGGAAGGTGGTGGTGGGTAAGTTGCTTTGCGTAGTAAAAGTGGAGATTCGGGGTCACGTGCTACCAAAATGAAACTGCAAGGAACTGCGAATAACTGAGTCGAGATTGGATCTTTGGATTTTCGAACTCACTGATCCAGATACAGATCCTTCTGCCTCGGGACACACCACCCTACCCCTCTCTAAAACAAAACTCTTTTTTGAATAGATTTATAAACCCAGAAAAACTTTAAAAGTATATTTAAACACACGAATTTATCCATTCATGCTTAAAAACTTTTGCGAATAAAGTGTCTTCAAGTCAATTTACTTCATTATTACGTTGAATGTGGTCAATTTACTTAATTACTGGAATTGGATGTTGATTATTCCCTGCCATATTTCATGTTTCTCTTTATTTGACGACTTGTAATTCATATATGTCTCTCGTAGGGGTACAAATGAGCTGAGCTGAGCTGAGCTGAGCCGAGCCTGAGTTTATGTAGGCTCGAGCTCAAATTATATTGTATTGTCTCGAGCTCGGCTCGAACAAGTTTAAAAAATCCGGGCTCGAGCTCGGCTCGAACGAGTTTAAAAAATCTGGGCTTGAGCTCGACTCGCAAATATTGATTCGGCTCGATTCGGCTAGATAATTTTGGTTCATTCAAAAGTTACAAGTTCGATTAGCTCGAAATCGAGTTCAAACTTGAGCTCAAGTATGAAACAATCTTTAAATATTTGTGCTTAAAATTTGCAAATTACAATTTACATGCCCAACAGCTAAACCTTGCGGGAAAATAAACTATAATCCTAACTTCAAGTCTCTACCCAGTTGTACTTCTAATATAAATCAAAAGTGGTCAAATCATGAAGATATAGTGGATGAAACTTTGATTATTTTTGCTAAATTACTTTATAATTAATAATATCTCCCCGGTCCTCGTATACATTTATGAATCAGTATTTTATTTATATATATATATAAATAATAAAAAAATTAATTTATATTATATATTGCATATACTAATATATATACTTCGTATTATATATTAATTTATATTGTATATTAATATATTATATATATTAATATGAATATACACAAATATAAAACTAGGCTCGCGAGCTAGCAAGCCTAAAATTAGTAGGCTCGTTTATGACTCGACTGCTTAACGAGTCGGCTCAAGCTCGGCTCGAGCTCGAGTTTGACCAATCTCGATTCGAGCGGCTCACGAGTGGCTCACGAGCGGCTCGGCTCATTTGCGCCCCTAGTCTCTCGATCACAGCCGTCTTTTGGCAAGTCCGTCATGTTCTCTCGAACAGGGCCCGCCATATTTGGCGGCCCCAAAAAAAATTCCCCTTGGTAATATTATTATATACTACCTCCGTCCCACTAAGTTCGGAACAATTCGGTTTATGATGTTTCACCGATGATAAAGCAAACAGACTCAAATTATTTTTTGAAAAAAAAATTACATAATTCATAAACTACATTAAAAGCTTTACAAAGTCGCAAAAACCAGAATCAAATTTGATAAAAAATTGATATATAAAGTAAGAGATTAAGAGTGGTTTGTGTTGACCAAGTGAATATTGTTTGGGACAATCTTAGCGGGACGGAGGGAGTAGCAAATTAAATGTATAGTTTTAACAATAATAATTGGATTTTTTACAAAAGTTTTACTATTGTTGGGTTAAGGGCCCAAGCCGAGGTCCGGCCCACTAACCCATTTTGCCAGACGAGCGTCCAGCTAGAAACTAGGCCAGCCCACAGGCCCATGTTCTTTAAGGATGGACGAACGTCTGGTGTTGGAGGACTCAGGCCCAGCGGCTCCTTCTGACGAGCATCTATGCAGGGGCAAGGAGCAGAGCCACGGGCCACCAGGGATGGCGACGAACGTCCCCAGAGCAAGCCTGTAGTCATCGGAGAAAACCCAGTGCACATGGTGAGTATCTATCAAGGCCAGGAGACGAACAGCCAATATCCCTCAAGGGTCACTTGGAGCAATCCAACTCACTTCCCGGGTGGACGAACGTCCCCACTGATCCGGCGGGAAACCTAGATTCTGGCGGGAAGTGCATTTAATGCTAAAGATTTGGTAGTTGGGACACCAGCGGTCCACAGGCTGCCACGTCAGTACAGCCACCTGCCCATTGGCGGGTATAAATAGAAGCATTTATTTCATTGTAAAGGGTTGGCAACTTTCTATTCTTAGCATATTAGCTTCAGCATTCTTACTTGCAGCCTTTCTAAGTGCCTTGTAAGACGAACGGCCGACGTTAATAATTCCTATTTACATTGCCTGCTACTACTTTTGTTTTCCTGACCCATCTGACAACTGTTGGGCTAGATATCCACACACTCACTCCATTCGAAATCTTTGGGCTTACGTGTTGGGTCCAAGGGTTGAAGGAATAAACCTCAACACTGGCGCCGTCTGTGGGAACTGAGCAAAAGGTTTCCAGAAACTCTCCCAAACAGCTACTAAGTCTACCTACAGCAAACACGATGTCAGGAAGCAACAACCAGCGTGATCTCTCCGAGCGTCTGGAATCAAGCCGCCGGAATCGCGGCCAGAACTCGGAACTATCCGCAACAATATGGACCTCCGGGGGAAACGGGGGTATCACTGACCTCATTCCTCTGGAGGCCAGGCAGGATCCTCGCCTCATGCGGGAACTCGCAGACACCATGCGTCGCTTGGCAGACGAGCGGGAGGCCCGAGACCAGGTGTACTCTGCAAGCACCCAGCGAACGCCCCTCTCTCCCATACGCCGCATGCAGTCGTACGACGATACGACAGGATCCAGCGACCACCGGCCCTCAGTCCACGAGCGGCTAGGTGGGGGTTCAGGCTCCCGTGGAACGGGAGGGCGAACCAGAGTCAGCATCGCTGCATCCAGGGCTCACACACCATCGGTCCCCCGCCAAATCCCGCGGGGAGACGAGACCCCGAGGATCAATACCGTTGGACGACGTTTCCAACGGCGAGGTGCGCAGATCTTTAGGCGGCCGCACGATGCTGTGGCCGCTCAGCAGAATGCCGTCCCCGAAGCCGCGCCCCCTGTGTCCCCCGGAAGGGCCACACAGGATGCGAGGTTGGAGGCCATGGAAAGGCAGATAGCCGAGATGAATAGGCGGGCGAACGTTGGCTCGGCCACACCCTCTTTCTCTCTCACATCTCCCTTTACTCCACGGGTGATGAGCGTCGAGATTCCCCGAGACTGCAGGCCCCCGGGCAACCTGGTGTACAATGGGGCTGGCGATCCCAAGGCCCATCTGATAAGCTACCAAGGGAACCTGTCCATGCTGGGAGCATCAGACGAGGCCATCTGCAGATTGTTCTTCAGCACCCTCAGGGGGCCGGCGCAAGAATGGTTCGGTCAGTTGAGGCCAGGCACCATCGACTCATACGAACAGCTCTCCCAGCAGTTCATGGCGCAGTTTGCTGCCAGCACCACCCCCAGGAAGGACGTCACGGCTCTCGCCCACATCAAACAAGGGCGGGACGAACCGCTGGCTAGGTTCCTGGTAAGGTGGAGGGACGAGGTCCTGCAGGTCGACGATCTGGACGAACGTCTGGCCACCAACATGTTCACCAGTGCGCTGGCCACAGGGGATCTATACCGGGACCTAAGGAGGAATCCCGGCACCAGCTACACCGAGGTTCTTGCTCGGGCCCAGAAGTATGCCTCCATTGAGGAGGAGATCAGGCAGCGGGACGGAGTTCCCGCGGCCCACCCACGAAAGATGGCGGACAGACTCGGGCCCGGGCCGGGACCCGGGCCCTCCCCCCCAAACAAAAAGAAGAGGACAGACGGGGCGATGGTCCCCTGGAAGGCTCCGTCCGGGGATACTCAAGCACGGCCGGACGACCGCTATGTCCCATTGGCCTATCCAGTGAGCCAAATCTTTGAGGCCATCAAGGACAAGGGCCTCCTAACGGAACCCCAGGATATGAATAAGCATATGGGGCACGACCAATCGGCCTACTGTGAATACCATCAGAGGACCGGCCACCTGACGGATAATTGCAGCCAATTAAAGAAAGCGATCGACGAGCTGATCCGTCAGGGGTACCTGGGCGAGTTCACCCAGCTGCTGAACAAAAACAGCCAGCAGAAGCCGAACTCAAGGCACAAGACATGGCGCCGCGACGATCGGCGCGAGGCAGAACCTCAGGACGTGGATTATCGAAGTGCAGATAAACGTCCGGAGGGATCCCTCGGCCCGAAGGGCAAGAAGAAGAAACTGGAGATCAAGGTGATCTTCGGGGGCGCTGAGACAGGGGATACACCCGCCGAGCGGAAAAAATTTGAGAGGTCACTCTATGTGGGTTCCGTATCAGCACCCCCCACCAAGCGAAATAGAGTCGAGGCAATTACCTTCGGCCCCGCTGACCTGCCAATGTCACCGGCGCCGCACAGAGACGAGCTGGTGATCAGCATGGACGTGAACGATGCTATCGTCCGTCGCGTCCTCGTTGATACCGGAAGCAGTGTGAACGTCCTCTACTGGGAGGCTTTCGAGGGGATGAGGCTCCGGAAGGACATGCTGCACCCCCTACGCACCCCGCTGTCCGGCTTCACCGGGGATTGCATTGACGCTGAGGGCACCATCATTTTACCGGTGGAGGTCGGCGACGGCCCTCACACTGCCCGGATCAGCATGACGTTCGTCGTGGTCCGCCTAAAGTGCGCCCACAACGCCATTTTGGGCCGACCCGGCTTGGAAGACTTAGGGGCCATATGCTTCGTACGACATTCATGCATCAAATTCCCCACCGACACTGGAGTGGGGGTGGCACGTACGGACCCACATATGGCCAGGGCCTGCTACACGAAGGCCATGGAGAAGCTCAACGAGCGGGAGGCTCGGGTCAACAGCATCTCCGAAAAGGCCAAACAGGCCGACTTGGACGCTCATCTGGAACCAGCAACTCTGCTGGAGGAAATTGAACTCGACAATCCGACGGACAGGAAGGTGTCCATTGGTGCGGATCTAGAGCCGGAAATCAGGGCAGGGGTCATAGCCGTCCTCCGGAGGTTCAGGATCTTGTTCGCCAGAGGGCCGGAGGACATGCCGGGCATCGACCCCAACCTCATATGCCATAAACTCGCCGTGCGGCCGGATGCCAAGCCTATACAACAGAAGAAGAGATATATGGCGGCCGACCGACGCGATTTCATCAGGAAGGAAACAGCAACTCTCCTCAGCA